ACCCGGGCCAAAATGAAGTCGATGCGGGACCTGACGCACAGAAAACGAGTAGCTACTCTTTTCTGTTCTAGCTGTCCCATCTGTTTGTTGCATGGTTAGCGCTAAAAATCAGTTCGAGGTGTGGTTGGCGGGGCAATCACAAATAGTTTGGTCGATTGAAGTTAGTTGTGAGTTCGACACCGTTAGAGATTCGATATAGATTTTTATCGATTGCTTGGAAACGGAGTAAGTTATCGATTATCGGAAACAAACTCGATCTGCGAGGGAACTAGGAGCACCTACATCTAAAATTTCAAGTCTCTAGCTCGTATAGGTTCTGAGATCCTTGCGTTCATACATACGGACGGACGGACAGACAGACGGACATGGCTAGATCGACTCGGCTATTGATGCTGATCAAGAATATATATAATTTATGGGGTCGGAGAAGCTTCCTTCTGCCTGTTAAATACATTTGGATTTTGCACAAATACAATATACCCTTATACCCATTTTTAATGGGTTCAGGGTATAAAAATCTTGATAATTTAATGAAATCAATCAATGTTGATACGAATACTTTGGGAAAATTTGAATAAACTCCTCTGTTGAAAATGAAAAGAAATAAGACGAACCAAGGTGCGAACCCAAACCTGGGTTAACAGATGTAAGGAACCAGGTTCACGACCTGGGTTAACAGATGTAAGGAACCAGGTTCATGATCGGAGCTTGAAGACAAGGTTTGGTTTGGACCGTTAAGAACACTATTAGAGGAACGATTCGGTTACACTTCGAAAGGATGTTCTGGACACACGCGTTTCAACCTTCTGCCTGGAAAGGACGAAAGAAATGTACGAAAGTTGTATAAGAAGACGATGAGGATCACAAAACATGCGATCTAGAGATATGCATGGGCGGTGTGTGGTTCTCCGCGGAACAATTGGATCGTGTTGCGAAACTCTATTTCATGCGGTCCCGTGCAAACTTAAAGAGCACGAAAAGCACCACCGCGCGAATCAAATGCATTGCTGCAAAACGATTTACTATGCCAAGAAAAGAAGGTTTCTGTGGCCTAAAGGGTGTCGCTCTTAACAAGAGGATCATTTCTAGCAAAAACAAAAGTAGAGTAAAACTATTCCAATAAATGAAAAGAGCATAAAGCTTACAACTATCAATATATATATATATATATATGAACTACTTAAATGAGACTTAAGATTTAAATTTTACAGCTCGTAATACTTTAATCTAAATATATATTGTATGCATAAAAGTGGCATCACTAGCAAATTAAAAGTACTTTGGCGATACATGCGCATGTATATGTAAATATATATTTATTTATATTACTTGCGCTAAGACCCATTTGACTTATGTATTCCTTTGATAATATATTTTATTTTAGATTGAGAGCTTTTTTTTTAGAATTTTCTAACTTGGGGTAAGACTATTGATATTTGCCCCAAAGATATATGTTCAGCACATTTTATCCCGCACGTTTTGTAGCTTGTAATTTGTATTACGACAAGAACAGAGGTAGCTGGAAAATTCGATTGCTGAGTTGGTAGTACAAGGAAACCTAAGCTTTCAAATAGACAAAGAAAAGTTGCAATGTTTTTCTTATCCCTCAGTGTAGATCGATTTCATCGTCACAACCTGTCTTCTTCTTAGTTCCCATCTCATCGTCGATGCTGATTAGGAATATATAAACTTTGGAGGGTCGCTGGCCGCTTTCAGTTGCATCTAAAGCATATTTAATTATAGGTGGGACTTATCAACAATAGCAATTATTATATGCCCGCGACAGATAAGATTAAAGCTTTAAAGCTCAGCGTCAGAAAAACGCGCTTTACTAAACTATTTTTCTAATATTTAGTTTCACTTTCACATTAGATATATTGATTTCAAATGTTCTGCTTAAGAGTTCGCTCTGGATGGCAAAAGTATTTGTCCGACTTTGGGATTTGGAATTTTATGGAGTTGCAAAAGAGAGCTATTACTCTACTTTTTGTATCACTTTCTGCACAATATAATATAGCTCTGCGCTTTTATTCATTTATTATCATTCCAATAGGACACAGGATCACAGAAAAAGTGTGTGGCCAATCGTTTTACCACTTTTATCTTTCCCGTAAAACTTCAACAATTAACCATGGAATCGGTTAAGTCTCCGTTGACGGGATGTTGGCAATTGTGTTTTATATCTATTGTTCACAATCTTTGGTTCTAGTTTAATGCCGATTCTTTTGCAACTTTCGGATGTTTATTTCCTTATCCATTTACTCGCTGGGCATGTCTAACCCGCGCTCCACGGAGCTGGTAAGATAGGTGTTAATAAAGCTTTTGAGTCTGTGTTATTTTATTTTCATTTAATTTTATCCGTTTCAATATGTATTTCGGTTTGTTGAATCCTGTTTATTTGCCACGCTTTAAGCTCTCAGCGTTTCATATTCCATCATTTTGATTTTATTGTTTCTTCCCCTTTCAAGACGATCTATAGAAGTAGCTGAGCTGAGCTTAGTACTAAGACAACCTACAAGTCTAGACAAGGTCACAAGGTACTAGAGGTAGCGCCCGTCAGAAAAACCTCTAAAGGTATCTATCAATCGGGTCCAATACGGCATGACCCTCTTTCAACGATTTAGCCTTTCTCCTTTTTTAGGATAGCTTCAGAAAATTGGGAAATATCGAATAGTTAGCTTAAAAAATGATGGAGTTGTGGAATTGAATCAGATTTATGCACTACTTCCATAAATTTAGGTAGATTTGGAACTCGGTTAGAACGCGATCACCCCTTAAGAAAGGTCGGAGATCAGATAAACTTCTTCAGCAGCCGTTACGCCGACAACGCCAGGTCTTGGCTGCCCCATCAGAGAGAGGCGCCTCCAAAGGCTATATCCCGTCGACATTTTTCTTAACTGACAAACAGGCATGTGACTCATTCGTTTCTGCCCCAAATACTTCATTTCGGTATATTTTATTGGGTGTGCGTCTTCGAAAGGTGAAATAGTAGCTTTTCTTGGGATAGACAACAATATGCCACATTTTTGTAGAACGCAAAATTTACATTTACTTGGTTGTGTTTGTTTGCCGATCGACAGTAGATCACAAAGCTTTTAGACAGGCAGCAAAAGCTTTGCAGAAAATAAAGCTCTTTCAGAGCAATTCTATCTTCCATCAATTGGGTTAAACAAAATACCAAAAATACCAAATGTTGGTATTTTTGCAACAATTGACACGTTTCTTTCTAGTTTGTAAAAAGCATTCGATTCACTTTTTTTTTTATTTTCAATACTTCATAGGCCTTAAATCCTTGATCAACTTGAAAGCTTTTGTTGAAATAAAGCTATGGCTAGGAGACCAAGAAGGCAAATTAAGAAAGCAATTAAATCTTAAAAAAAAAAAAATGTCGCGATCTCTGAAAGATGATGAAATAGTAGTAAAGCATACGGTTGGGAATGATATCAAACCTACTTGCAAATAGATTTTGCACTTTAAAACTGAGACAAAAAAAAAACTATCCAAAGAAAGAAAATAAAACGGAACCGATCAACACAGCACACTTGATAAACGCGAAACATAACCACAATGAAAGAATAATCACAAAATAAGAAACACAGACACACACATACACAGACGCAAACGCACATAACCGCGACACACGAACACATTTACGTACAGTCGCACACATGCAAACAGAAGAAAAAATTACCGAACGAACGCAAACGCATTTTATGCCATATTGAATTATTACCAAGAGCAATACGTCCACAATCACCGCTTGGCCATGGTTCAACGTTAATATTACCGTTTTACTATTTAATATTATTCCTTAATCTATGCGACTTACCGTAATTGTGTGGATATTAAATTTCCATTAGAGTTGCAATTGGTAGTTGTAGTTGTTTTTGTTGTTGTTGCATCAAACAGCGTCCGCTGCAATGCTCACTTTGGCGAGGTTCACACTTCTGAAGTCGGAACTCGAATGACGGCAATCGGCAAGCGATATGTGTTTCGTTGTGCCTGGCATGGTTGGCAACACAAATAGGTTGCTTAGTTTGAACGTGTGACGTCACAACCAACAGACAAAATAATATATCTGTGATGAGATACGAGTCTTATATACAGTTTTAAATGTTTTATTCTATAATTATTATGCATACCGAAATTATTTGTACACCAAAATTGTAAAGAGCAACATTAAACAAACGAAAATACGCAAAAGTGTGCAGTGTGGCAACGCTGCTTTATGCCGCAACCTTCACACAGCTGCCGCATACCAATAACACACGTACACATGCACGCACAGCGCAGAAAGCAGACGCAAGCAAGTGACGCAATTCGCCGGCCTTTGACGAATTCGCCGCAGCCAGCGCTTGTTATTTGTTATTGCTCCTGCTATTGTTGCTTCCTTTTTGTTGCCAGTCGTTGTCTGCGCTTTAAACAGACCCAATCGTCTGTTGTTGCCAAGCGCTGCAGACACACCCATGCACACATGCTCATGCATGTGTGGGTCTCTCTCTCTCTCTCTCTCTATGTGTGTGTGTATATACATGTTGTTCCAGCCATGGTGGAGGATCTGAAGGGCGCAACGATGGTCAGTCGTGAGAGCTCTAGTTATCCATAAAGTAAGTCAACCTTATCTCGCTCTCAAGCGCACTCGGGGTTGGTGGTATGTATGGACACATGTTTACTCTGTTTATCTTTGTTTGTATTAACCGCTTAAGAAGCTGGACACATGATACTTGGAGTATACATATACTCATAGATATATTCGAATCACACAGCGTGCAACGGCCATTGTGCGGCGGTTAAAGCTCAAGAATTCGTAACTGCGACAGTTTCACAGTGTGATTCACCAAATTTTACAAAACGACTGCTCTCGAGCTTCTCTGAAGATCCAAAATTGAGGTTTTCTGGCATTTTTGGCTGACAGAATGGAGTTCCGTTGTTTAACAGTCGATTGTATCCCCGATTGCGCAGCTCTAACTAGTTCTTTTCTTTTTTAGCATTAACAAAACAGGTTTTATTCGTGATTTTTATATTACATACATATGAATTTCACTTGTCAAATTAAGTACAAATGGGAAGATCGTTTGAGACGAGACACAAAAACACATGGAAAGCATGGTAAGCTTGGACGCAACCCAAGGTAGGTCTGGAGAGTTGGTCCACAGGGCTTAAGACTAACTGGTACGATCATCTGTTGCTTACAACTAAGTCAATTTTTTACAAAAATTATAAAAATCAATTATATTACAAAAGAACAAAAAATAAGTTTCATAATTATAATAATATTACCAAAGAAAAAAAAAAAACGATTTAGAAGCTATCGAGCTTGACATACGACTACTTGAGTTGTAAAAATCAATTATATTATAAAAGAACAAAAAATAAGTTTCTTAATTATAATAATAATAAAAAAAAGGCAATTAGCAGCTATCGAGCATGACATACGACTATTTGCGCTTTTCATATTTTTTCTTCAGTTATTTTATTTTGTAAAATTTTTTCAAATTTTCTCAAATGGAAATTTTGTTGGCTGTAATTTATTCAATTTGTATATTTTTTGTCTTCAGTTAAATTTTTAAGTTTAAAAATTTGCTGAATTTCAATTAGTTTTGCATTGCAAATCCTGTTAAATTTTAAAGAACCCAATTCATATTGTTTTCTTCAGTAATGTTTTTGTTGAAGTTTAAAAATTTGCTGAATTTGAATTTGAGCTTTTGTTACAGTTTACAGTCAATGATCGAAGCTTAAGCTAATCTAAACATATTTAAGTATTTCATTTGTGCTGAAAATATCATATTTTTTACAAGGAAAAACAAAAGCACTTGTTAAGTAAAATCTGTTTAGTTTTGTTTGTCTGACGAGGTTTTTTTTTGTTTTTTTTTTGGGGTTCGTCATAATACTACAGTCTGCTGCTCTCGGCGCCATTGTGACGCGGCTGCGTCGATTGTGACTTCTCGTAGCCGTTGCTGGACATCTGGAGGTGCTGCGGCAGCTGGGCGGGTCGTCCGTTCGAGGGCAGGGTCTCGTCCACACTGAACACCGAGTTGTCATGTCCGTGCATGTGGCGTGCATTCAATACCGCATCCGGATGCGTCTTCTGTGACTCCTGCTCCGTGGCATTCGGCTTGGCCTTGCCCTCGAGCAGGAAACAGGTGATAAGGAACAGTATGGAGCCTGTTGTGGGGTGAAGCAAGTGTACACATTAACATCTGCTGTGGGTTCGGGGTAAAGCTCAGTGCCGCGGCTAAAACGGCTCGTAACCTACTACGTGTATAATAACCGTTGAAAACGTGGAACACGTGATAGACACAATTATTGATAATCGCCCTATCACAATCAATTATTCATATATGTACCTAGCAATAGCTGTGAAATGCTGCCGTAACAGGTGAGAAATTATAAATATTAAACTATTATAATGTCTATATGAGCATATTTGTGCCTCCCCAACTTTGAGGGTAGTCCCATTCTGTACCCCAATTTCCTCTAAGTATTCTAAATTGCAAATCCAATTAACATACTTAATATTAGGTCAGATTCTTTGCTTTCTCCACTCGCCAAATTGAATTGCTTAAGAAAAAAACAAAACTTATGTAGGAATACATTTCTCATAGTCAAGTAAAAGTGTACTGAGTACAGAGTATCTTCTAGTCAGACACTCTCCCAAGCACTTCACTTTCTTTTTCATCTTTCTACTTTCCTCTTCTCTATCTGATTCTCAATTATAGCTGCTTGCCTATAAATACAACACTATGCGTTCCCTTCCATCTTCCAGCTGAAAGTTTTTATTCCCAGGCAGGGGTCACCCAATTTATTGAACTTCCAGCTTTCAATTCAAGTCACGTATTCCAGTGAAACACTTATTTCAGCATATATTTCTGTTGGTCTTCAGCACAGCTAACGGCTAACTTTCTATTGTTTTTCTGTTTTCTGCTAGGTGGCAACGCCAAGAAAACAAATAGACGAGCCAAATTCGAACAGTTACAGCTATTGCGTGATGCTGCCAGATGTGCTAAGTGGCAACACTGAAAACATTTAAGCTGCTTGTTAATTTTAGCAGGCAGAGCAGCAGGTTGACAGGAGGATCAAGCCAATGGTATATAAATAAATGCAATTGTTCAGATACTTACTGACGCCGTAGAAGCCGGCATAGAAGATCATGATGGAGCCGCGATAGCCGATGACCTTGGCGACTGGATCCACCAGAATGGGCAAATTGCCGCCAATGTTGTTCATGACAAAGAGGAAGACGCCAATCGTTGAGGAGCGAACGCGCAGCGGCACAATCTCAACGACAATGGCAAACACGATGCCGAACCACATTTCGGCAAAAAAGTAGCTCAAACCGAGCGTTATCATTGCCCACAAGGGCTCAAAGTAGACCGAACCAAAGGCGGGCAGTGTGGCAATCAATTGGCTAATGGCCAAGACAAAGGCACGCGAACGGATGCCCATTTTGGCGACAATCTTGTCGGATACAATGCCGCCGACAACAACGCCAACGCTGCCAATGCCAATGGTGACGGCGAATAGCCACCAGCCGAGATCCACGTCCGGGAAATACGTATTATAATAGAGATCCGCATTGTAGGCGAAGGTCATGCCGCCGCTGTGACGTATGGAGGCGGCTATCATTAGCATTATCATGGCCGGACTTTTGATGACCTGCCACAGGGTGACAGGTTTGCCGCTGGCCGTGGTGCGATCGCCCTCGCCAATCGATTTGCGTTCCGGTTCGCGCAGCGTGGTGCCCGTCAGTCCGGCAATAATGATCGTCAGGACACCGGCGCCCAAATAGCAAACACGCCAGCCCATATCGAAGAAGTTGAGCTTGGTGATGTATCGGCCGACGGGAAAGGCAATGCCATAGCCGCCATAGATGCCCCAGTTGAATATGGCCATGACCAGTGCGCGTTTGTTCTCCGGAAAGATGTCGGACATGATGCCCGTCGCAAGCGGATTACAACCCGATTCACCGGCAGCCATAACCATGCGAAGCAGCACCAAATGCCAATACTCCTTGACCGTGCCCTGCAGCAGAATGGCAATGCCAAAGATGATGGTGCACACGGTCAGCATCTTGACCCGATTGTATTTATCGGCCGCAAAGCCCATAAAGACGCCCGCTATGGTGAAGACCAGTATGAACGTGGGCCCGGCCAATATCTGATAATCGATGCCCAGTCCATTGTAGTTCCATTCGCAGTAACCAGTGCCGTTCATGTCCAGCGCATAGCAGCTGGTCTCGTTCTTCACGTCGCCGCACTGGGTGACCAGCTCGTGGCGCGTGAACAGGCTGCTGTTCTGCTGGCACGCATGATCCCCATAGTCCAGCTCAATGGCCGTCTGTTTGGACGTAACGCCGATCAGATAGTGGCCCAGTTCGCCCAGTATATAGCCAATGGTAAGTATGCCCAGCACATAGCTGCTGTAGAAGCCGCTCAGTTTCTCCAAGATCGGAATCATCCTTCGGCTGTCAGAGCTGTTCAACGAGATGCAATAGTTACAGGGGATTAGAACTCGGCACTAGTATTTCAATTGGTTTGTCCTAAGAACTTGTCTTCCATCTACACAGTTGTGTAAGGATTTCTCTAGCTCTGGAAGATAAAAGAGCTACAAGGGATTGAAATAGAACTCCGTATTGGTATTCGACTCCGTAATCCTGATGATTCTATCCTACCACCCTACCATCTTGTGAAAGCATTTCTCTTGGCAGAGTTTTAAAGGAAATATGGATAAGTTTAAGATCTTCCTACCCATCTACAAGCTAGTGCAAAGATTTCTCTAGCTCTAGAACCCAAATCAGCATCGAAATATAGAAGACAAGAGAGTTACAAAATTACAAAGTAGTTTTCCACTCGGTAATCCTTAGAACTCCATCTAAAAAATAATGTTAGAATTCCTCCTAAACTACCCCAGTTAATTGAAGATAAAGGAGTTACTGGCAAGAGTAAAGTCTTTGGGTGAAGCTCTGTCATGGTCACGGTAATCCTAAGGACTTGATCCAACATAATGTGCCAGGATCTACGATACAGTCCTGAAAGTCCTTGTGCCCAAATTAACTAACAATAGAATAATCGAGCACTCCTTCCTGATCCGAAATATTTAACTTTTAAACTTACGCCCCGCTTCTCTGTTAAACAATATCCTCAGTTGCAAAAGATATGATTACTCTTAAACTAAAACTCTTAAACATAAAACCCACGGGGGTACTATGTCGTTAAGGGAGTACCAAAGGGGTTTAAGTCTTGGTAGTGCCTAATAACTGCAAAGGTTTGACCTATCTCAGTAATATCCCTAACAGGGACTAAGCTTAAGCTCTATTTGAAACTACGAGAAGTGAGTATGAAAGGTTGCCAGATATTGCTTTAATAGAGCTCTATCTTCGACTCTTCATGCCTTTATGTTCACGGAAATCAAACTTAAGATAGCCTCAAGTAAAGTTGAATGATGTTATAATTTGCTTACTTATTTGGGAAATTCTGTATTCCCATCCATGAAAGATGTTTGGAATAAAATCTACAAATATATTTCTAATCCTATATTCAAGATCCAATAGACTTAATGATGCTCAGAAGAAGAAGGAGTATAAGACTAAGTAACTGAAATGCAACAATTTTTACCAAAGAATTCTTGGAATGAATTCTACTCTATAGAGGAACTGATAAGCAGGCCAATCAAGTGCTCTGCAATTGGTATGCATCTCAGTAGCTGAAACAGAGAACAGATGAAAGGCAAACATGTGAACTGATGATAGACATGGGGCATAAATTAAACTGTCTATCTGGGCATTTTGTAATCAGGCAGCGACAAGCGTGGCGAACAATTATAATTAAAGATAAATAATCATCGGAGCTTGCCTTTTAATCAGCCTTGTCACCGGCGATTGACGATAACTGCTGCCACAATGTTGAGAACAAATTAATTGATCCCAAAAGTTCTGGAGATCGTGACTTGACTTAATTCTTCAAGCATGCGATCGAAGTGAAAGTGAAGTCGTTAAGCACGTGTTGTGTGTCCTCAACAGAATACCCTGCAGCAGCGAGCCATATTAGCTGAGTCGTTGCATTCGTCAAAGCCAGCTTTTAGGCTGAGTTTTAATGCGGCAATAATAAAGCTTGCAAAGAAATTGTTTGCAGCTAGCTTTAAGCGCGAGCTTTAGAGCTTTTGACAAAGCTTTCAAAGCTTTACTCGAGTTCAAAAACAGCTGTAAGTCAGGCGCGGACTATGGACTAATGGGGGCCCAAGGGTTTGATTCAAGACCCTCAAGACCCTTGTCCTAGGTTGAAGTGGAAAGCCCTTGAGAGGGTTACATTTATTATTTAAAGCTGTAGAATGTTCGCAAGCCCTTAAAAACTAGCTTGATATTCATTTTTATGAAAGTAAACAAGTTACTTGGTTAGCTGTGAAATAGATTGCGTGTTCGGAATCCGTGCTAAGACTGGTTATCAAGTCAACTATACTAGATTAATTATATGTAACTTCAAACTTGTTCTAACTAACAATAAAATTTGAATAATCATAGCCCAAAATCATCTCATGATTGTTAACTCTATTAAAATTGAACGCTGTTCGAACTCGACTCAAAGTTCGGTACGTAAACCCAATTCCCAAAACCCGCATCCATGGTTGGGGGGTTTGCTTTTTTGCTTTACTCTGAACCTATTGAAAATGGGCAAGAACTGCGAAGACACATTTTAGCTTCTAGATATATATATATATAGTATATGTTCTTGATCTGGTCGATGTCTGAATCAAAGAAAACTCAACTGTAGAGCCTTGCACATTTTGGCAATTCGTTTTTATGGAGATCGGACTCTAAGCACCGAAGTTAATTAAGCATGCATTGCACATGCATGGCATGGCGAGAAGCGAAGAAGAAGCATCAGAGCTGCATCATAAAGTTTATAAAGTAAACATATATCATGTTCGATTCAAACCGGGATAAAGAATGGAGTTCCGTTTAGGAAGAGCAAAGCGATCTTTCAATGGCAACTGTCGAGCTCTGGTTTTGAATAGAGTCTATAGAGCACTAGAGAAGTCTATATATAGACTTCTAATTAGATTTGTGAAAGGCATCTGAAACATTCTTGATGGTCGTTACCTCAAGGCATTTATCGGGCGTAGTCGTACTGCGACGTTTTTATGATTTATGAGTCGTATTGTGAGCGAAACGGAAGTTTTTTTTTAATCTCTAGACAAAAGCGAATGCGAACGCTGTCGACTGCTCGACTAGGCGATACCCTGCAGGCAAATATACTCAAGTCTAACTGCATTATAGTTTTATTAAGAGTTGCTCGACTTTTGGATTGTTTGAATGTGTTTCTCGCTCTCTTTTCTTTTTGTCAATATTTAGAAAAGCGGCAACAATTGAGTACAGGGTATTGCAAGTGCGCATAATATTCTATTTCTAGCTCTGACGCACTCTGAGTTCCCTTTGCTCTCTGAATTCCTTTCTGTCTTCGCTTAGAAATGTGCTTTTGTTTAGTTTTTTTGCCTGGCCTAACATGCCCATTGCCTCTCTTTACAGGGTAGTCAAATTTCATGTGCGCATATTTTGAAGTTCAATGTCAAGACGCAGTCCATCAATAAAGCAAACGCCCCTTCAACTTCTTGTCTACGAAACCTGCCTAAATCAATTTTTGTTTCTGGCTTAAATGCCATTAAGCCAACTCTATACACACACACTCACACACACACGCACGAACACAACAAATTCGCGTTGTTCCCACACAGCAAAAGAATAAAAAGCACTCAGCTGTAGACGAAGAGCACTAAAAATTAATTTTCAGCTCTTTTTAATACCCCCGAATCCGGTTTTTTTTTTTTTTTTTATTTTTAGCTTAACTTTTCTTTCGATTTCGATTTCTGCTCACATTTTCATTATGGATTTTGCGAATTCTTTTTCTTCGATAAATCCATTCACTTTCCGTGCATCGAGTTGGCGAGCTCAATTATTTTTCTATAGATCCATTCACTTTATATCGATAAATATCGATTGTACGAGCTTTTATATATAGTCCGATAACTCCACAAATTTTTTTAATATTTATAATTATCGGATTTGTAATCTCATATAGTTTACGATATATCTGCCCATTTTCGTGATATCGATAAATATCGATTTTTATCGATTTGAATAACTATTGATTTGGCGTTTCTGTGGGCAAACATGAAATGAAGATGAACTTTTAATGACAGGGGCTTAGGGTATCTCTAAGTCGTGCTTTTCCGACCGGAGCACACTTGCATATTTTTTGTAGTTCTTTTCCGATTGTTTTCTGTCTTTAATCAATCAAGTTTCTGGCTAATTTGCTTGGCATGTTCATAGTGTTTGGCACCAGCTAACACCACTCAGATACAAAAACGCGTAGCCGTATCTAGGCATAACCAAATAAAGCAAATAAAAAAGAGAAGTATCTTTTACATTTAGCTGGCAAGGTCGACAAAGGGTACAGAACGCAGCCAAGGCCAAAGGCCAAAAGCCACAGTTGGCCAAGTATTCAAAACGATTATTGGCAATGTATCTGTCGGATATGCGTCAAGAATGCGGATGCTGGCAATTGAAACCAGTTAAAGAACTAAGCGACAACAAAGCCCTGTAAAAAGCGTCGAAAAGTCGTTAAATGCTTAAAATTAGACAGCAATTGCTTCGCGTCACAGATCCCAGCTACGAGGCTTCTGATAGACAAGCATTTTAATCTGTCAAAACCCAGACCCAGAAATGGTAAGTGGTACGAGTACGAATTGCCTCTGTTGTAAGCCCCGACATTGGCATTTTGTTTCCTCAATAGGTTTTACCCAACCCAAAACATAACTGGATGTCGAATACCCGTCCGACTTGGCTTATGAATACGCAAAAAGCGCTCTCATCTCGATTTGGGCCAAGCGCTCGCTGCGAGTCACATGATCCGCGGCAAAGAGTCGTTGCTCTTCGCAAACGACGCTTAGATACTCTCACTAAATGTGGTCGATGTCTATGCTTATTATTAATTAAACGGCGCATGCTAAAACACAAATCAAAGACAATGCGAAGCGACCAAAAAAAGACATGCCAGTTCGGCTTAAACTAAAACCAGACCACAATCATGCACTATTTTGGGGCGTTTGAACTGGCATTCTGTCTTTTCTTCATGTGTGGAAAAATCGCGAAAAACATTTGTAGGAATTACAATAGGATTTACAATAGAAATGCGTTTCAAAGATTTTGTGGGTGAAGTTTTAAGTTTGCATATATGCTTGTTTGTACATAACATACATGCATGCATGCATGTTTTGTATATATGCAAACATGCATGCAAGCATGCATACATACCTACATACGTACACACATACATACTTACATGCATACATATATACATAGATAGATACATACATGCATACAGACATACATATTTACATACATAGATAGATAGATAGATACATACATACATACATGTCAGGTAACATGAACTTTGACAGGCAATTGATCCAGCGTGCATT